ATCAGATCCATTCTAAGGAATACTCAAAGGCCACGACAACATGAGCTGCTTCTGAGAATCCAGGTCACATTCATGTTTACTCTGAAAGCAGCAACAACTTAAGCAAAGTCTGATTTCACTTGACATTATTTTTTAGGAACTGCTAATTTGTGATTCATTGTAAACTCAGAGCCTCAAAAGGCTTCATAATCTAGAGGACTTTCCAAGGAGGCAAATTCATTTATTGAAGAGAACTAAGAGGGAAAATACACTCAAGATCAGCCTGATCTGTCTCAAGTGCTGCATGGATGGTTCTGCTGTGCCAGTGGGTTTGAGGGGTTTTACATCAGATGCTGAGAAAGTCCAGAAAATGCCAACATCATTCAGCCTTGGAATGCAAGTTGGCTTCCTCCCAGCAATTCCCTGACCCGAAGGCCAGAGTCCCATGAGTCCTGATGGAGCAGCAGGCAGGGCTGTGTGGATGGAGTGCAGCTACACGCTGCCCTCCAGACCCAAGGGCTTCTGCTGCTCCTCCAGCCTGTGCTTCCTCACTCACTGCTCTTACTCCTCCCTACCAAAAGAGCTGGGAGGGACATCCAGGTCCCATGGTTTTCATTTCCCCCAGGTAAGCCATTCAAAGAAAAAACACCGTGCAGCAATTTGATCAGAAAGAGCTGCTGTGCAAGAGTTGTGGATGGGGACTGAAGTTGCTGCCAGCCAACTCACTTACCCCAGCAGTGTCATGCATCAGGCAATCCCTCACACCAGCTGAGGAACTTTATTCCAAAATTATCTTCTTCCATAGAAACATCTCCTCTCTTCTCACAAAATCATCTCTAGTAATTATTAAAATTAGTCAACGATATCCTGAAGTCACAAGCTGCAGACTAAAACCAGAGCCAGCCAAAAACCTCCCAAATACAACAAGTCTGCACTGCAAAGCACCAATTGCGTGGAAATGTGCTGATTTCACCAAAAAGCTCTATAAAAGGCAACAAGATTGGCCAGCAGGCCAGTCTGTCCAGCTTCCTGCCAGGCTGCCTGCCAGCCCCAGGGTGGGTACTCCCAGCTCCCTAACTCAAAAAATAAAAATCAGCTATGAGAAGGCTTCCAAAGGATGGGGATTTTGCTTCCTGTAGTCCTCTGGTTAAAATAAATGCTGCACAGGTGTGTGTGTGTGTGTGTGTGTGTGTGAGGAAGGCAGGGACAGCTCTGCTTTACACAGCAAGAATGGTTTTTCAACAACAGAAAAATTCAAGAAAAATTGTATTTTGAAAGACAGATGCCACTGCTAACAGCACAGGAGGGAGAGGATGAGACATCCCTGCATAGATCTGTGAGTGGGAAGACAATGGCAAAGAAATCCAAACAGCAAGACGATAAATCAGAGGTGGGGAATCCCTGTCTTATCCCTTCTGCAGCGTGCATGCAGCTATTGTATTTAATTAAAATAAATTACAGCTCGCTTGTGTACAGCCTGCAGGGCTTTTAACACCCCTGAACGGAAGCACAGGGATGAGCAGCCACCCTTCAGGAGTTCACTCTCTGTGTCTCCAGACGCGGAATGCAGATGCTCTGTCACAGCACAGTCGCAGCAAGGCTGAGGGATCGAGGCAGAACAAAAAGCCCAAACAGTTCTGCTTTCACACCATCCACTTCCTCAGCCCCGTCCCTGGGATCCTTGCCAGGATGCTGGTAACGTTTGGAATGGAGCAGGCAGAGCTGCCCAGCAGTGTGGCAGCTGCTCCTGAGCAGGGATGTTTCACTGGAGAGGGGTTTCTTCTAACGGCAGTGATTTAAAACCCTACAAACTAAATTTCTGGAACACTTGGCTGAGCAGGATCGATGCACTTTCCTGGTTAACCACTGCGTCCACACACTGCTTGAATTCACCCCACGTATTTGCAGCAGCAGCACCTGAGGACAAGAACGTCTTCCTGCTCTGAGGTTCACACTGGACAAGAATATCTCCCTGCTCTGAGGTTCACACTGCACAAGAACGTCTCCCTGCTCTGAGGTTCACACTGGACAAGAACATCTCCCTGCTCTGAGGTTCACACTGCACAAGAACGTCTCCCTGCTCTGAGGTTCACACTGGCTGTGCCCCAATTTGGCACAGGAACATCAGTGCTGCACTTGTGAGGACCAGGAGGTGAGGAGGTGCACAGGTGCTGAAGGGCTGTGCCACACACCTGAGGATGCTGCAGAGAGCACTGATACCTTGACAGTGCTTTTTGGGGACACAAACTGAGTTTCTACCATCACCCACACCAGTGCTCCAGGCTCTGGCTGATTTCTGTGGAAGATAAAGAGAATTAGGGACACAATGTACCTAACACGACTCTGGGCTTGGAGCTGCTCAATGGATGTTCAGACAGCAGAAAGGATCAGTTAAATCTGACCTTGAGCAGCTGCAGAGTATCAGTCGATTCACAGCATTCAGGAAAAAAAGAAATTTCTATTTATTCTTGTCCTTAGGAAACTGTAAGTGAGGAGGAAATGGATTTTAAGTAAGCTCAGAGAAGTCCATGATAATACTAATTCAAGATTTTGAAGTGCTTTACCAACAGCAAGTAAAATACACAGATTTCTGACAGGAGAAATGAAGCACGAAAATGCAAAGCAGCTTGTCCAAGCTTATGCAACAGACGAGAAGCACAAACAACACACAGATCTCCAGGCTCCACCTCTGTGTCCTACCATTCTTTCATTTTAAAAACCTAAATCCATTTGGCACTCCAGCAAGGTTTTCCACATAGATTTAAGTGTTAATTCTGGGTTGCTTAGACTTTCTTTTTTCCTGATGTGGTATCTCGCCCAATAGCTCCTCCTCTGTACACACCCAGTAGAAAAGGAATTAGTATTTCAGAGCCAAGAAAACAGGAAAAAGAAGAAAGTCCTAAATTTTTATCTAAAACCATATTTCTTTTCACATGGGCACACTGAATACAGATTTGAAGCAGAACTGCATCCTATGAAGAGAGAAAACACTGCTTGGAAACTATGAAAATTGAAATTGCTAAGATGTTACTAAATGTATATATTTATGATGATTCTATTTCCTGCACTAATATCATGTATAATGCATTTAATGCATTATCTGTTCAGATGCAGATACCTTTCATTCACTGCAGGCAGAGATGAGGCAGTTATCCAAAATGCTGACAAACCACTCTTTAGCCCCATGAAGTGCAGGGAGTGACACAGATCACTCCAGCACACAGCTCATGTGGCACAAGAACTGCTCCTACAAAAGACACAGAAAAGGTTCTCAGTGTCCATGCTGGTGCCAGAGTTTTCTCTGTGGAGCCACCTCACCACAGGGAAAAAGCACAAAAAGGAAATCTAAGAACTCATCTTAGCAAGCTCCTCTTTTTGTGCAGAGCACACATTAAACTTACAGGTACTTTCATATCTGACATAAATTAAAAGCCCTCTTTTAAAACCAACTTGTGTTTTTATGTTTCTAACTCATCCTAGAAGACAGAACTGTCAAATGGAGAGTTTCTCTTTGAATACCCACTGCCTGTGTGAATGGCTACTCCCCTCACTTCCAACACTGACCTCTTCAGGGTTTGTCTCCTTTCATGCCATCCATGCTCATGGACCTTCTCAGAAAAAAAGGAACCCCTCTAAAGAAGAGAATGGCTTTCTTTACCCTTGCTGTCTGCAATTTTCTTTTCAAACCCTCCTTCTCATTCAGCGCACAGGGGAATATGCTCTAAGAAAAACCTTGCTCAGAGATGAGGCAGGAGTGAGCTCCTCCTGAGGTCAGTTATTGGGCTTTTACTGATGAAGAGCTAAAATATTAATATTTACTGTTGTGCTAAGATCTGAAGCAGCCCTGGTGCCCTCACTTCCCAGGTACAAGTGACAAACAGGACAGACAAAACCACTCTGGAAGGTACATGAGTTAGCAGAATGCTTCCTGATCATCTGGGCCCTTTTAAGACCAGCCTCACACAACCAACCAGCCATCTGAACAGGGTTGTGACAGAAAATGCTTCTACCAACCTTAAATATGTCTGTGTGCACAGTACAACTGCTTTTTTTCTGTAAGACATGAACTGGAATCAACACAGTGCCATGACACGGCGTATTCTTGCCAAGGTCCTACAGGGCAGATGGAATTTTGGAGTCCATCTTTTTAAGTGCAGAGGTTGTTCTCTATCGTAACTGTAACAAAAGTTATTTTGGATCATTTTAAAGGATATCATTGAAAAAATGAAGGTTTATGCCTGGCAGTAAAAGCACCTGACGAAAATGCATGGTTTAAATGGAATTATCTCATGTCTGGCAGGTGAGGCCTGCAGGAATTCAAGACTTCCTTTTCCAAAACAAATGTAAGAGATTTAATATAATTTGATACATTAATCTGCTCTAAACCTTGGAGAAGCTGCAAAGGTTTACTTCCTTTTCTGAGGCAGGAATCCCAGGCCCCAAAACCTGATTATTTTAAGGAAATGTTTATGTGAAGAACCAACACCAGAACTTAACTGCTGTCCTCAGCATGAAACGTAAAGGACGATTCAAGCATCATAAGAAGGTCTGGATTTGAAAGGACTTTAAAGACCATCTTGTTCCAACCCCTTCCCATGGGCAGGGAGACTTTCCACTATCCCAGGTTTCTCTAAGCCCCATCCAGCCTGGCCCTGGACATTTCCAAGGATGGAGCAGACACAGCTTCTCTCGACAACCATAGAGGTTGCAACCATATCTGATGTTCAATTTGGAAAACATCACAGAAAGAAACCAGTGGTAATTCACAGAGATACACACTTCAGGTCAAGGGATACCATGTCTCCTTGAACCCCTCTCTAACCTGATGGTTATTTCCCTAAACTCCAGATGTCCAGAGTTTTGACCAAAACCACAGTTCCTTTTTCTTTGCATATGTGATATTCTAGATGAGCTACTTCATACACAGAACTCCTCATGTACTTACTCTTGGCTGAATTACCTCCCTGCCTGCTCCCAGTAAGCAATAACTAATTTAAGGAGTCTTTGTTCAAGGTGTCAGAAAGCCACAAGGAGTTACATAATGCATGACTACCCTGCAGAGACTGACAGACCAGGTATCACAAAACCACACTCACATACTATTTATTAAATCAACCTCTACCCCAAGGACTGCACCACCACCACCCTCAGGTGCAAATGGAAGAGGAAATTAAGGAAGTCTTGAGTAATTTCATTGGTATTTTTATATGAATTTTGAGACAGACCTTTTTTAAAATGGAAAGTTTCAACACACAATGACAAGTCTGTATCTGGCTCAGCATTTCTCAATGCAATTTAGTACTTCCAACAGAAAACTCATTGTAAATTAGCAATAAATGAACAGGGAACACTGGACAACTGCAGCTCACCAGAACAAATGTTGGCAACTTCATTATCACTTCCAGCATTGACCACATGTATTGCAGGGAAAAAGGTGACCTGGTTAAGGACTTTTCTATTTCTATCTATGATCTCTTAGGGAATGTGCTAAGGAAACGACTGTCCTACTGAATCATTTCAAGAATTTAACAGCCAAGATGATTTACTACCATAAAATAGGTCTTGGAAACAAAGATATTTGAGGAGACTCAATAGCTATTAAATCATTGTGGAAAACATGATGCTGAAGGAATTGCAGATGCCTGACACATGTTCTACTGCTTTTTTTTTTTTTTAATATTGAGTGTCTATAAAAAGCAACTCTGCAGAATTACTTAAAAACTCTTCTGACAGAAAAAAATAAAAAAATAGAGATATGGGTATCAATTAAAATGGCATCCATAAAAGTTAAAAACAATTTTGACTAAAACACCCCACAAAGGCTGTTGGAAAAACTGGAGTCACCAATACACCAATAATTTCAAAACCTATGCATTAAAAATACACATCTCGCTTAGTAAACAAGCTGAGACGCATTTTGCAGAGTTATAGATATTTTAGAGTTGAGTCAATACACAGAAAACCTCACATCATCTTATATACGAGTCCACTTGCTCGCTGGTGTGAAACCAGATTCAGCAAAAGCACCTTGGGTTTTGTTATTACAATTGCAGTGTAGATGTTGTTATCACATCGAACACGCTCTGCTCAAGGCAGTTGGAAGCAGCTCTCTTCAAAATGTGCCACAAGTGAATCAGAAAAATTGTCTGCAAGGCTTGCTCTGCAAAATACCACTGAAGAACATGCTGCTCTTTTGACCAAGATGGAAAAACTCTTGTGCTAAACCTTCCACTAGACCAGGCTGCTCCAAGCCCCATCAAACCAAGAACTCTTGCAGTACCCAAGGAAATGTTTTAAATGTATTCTAAAATACTCAGCCAAAATACAGCAGCCTCAAAGTAGGATCCAAACTTTTCTTATACCAGCTGATATTACAGACAATACTAACAAACCTTTGGAGGCCAAAATCCCTTTCCAGCCCTTCTTGCTTTCAAATCTCTCCTCTTCACATCCCTGGATCACCACAGCTACAGCAGTAATTAAGACACAACCCAGCCTTGACCTCCTTTGTGCCTTGGCACGGTGATGACAAAGGGAGAGAAAAGATCCACCTTGTGCCACTCACGTTGAGCCACGTGGCTCAAAAACAGGGAACCCACACAGTTCTACAAACTCAACTGAAAAACCAGGAAATGAGGAAAACTAATGGCCTTTATAATGAAACGTGTGCCTTACAGAAAAGCTAACCAATAGACTTACGAAATAGGAAAATGAGCGTTCCTTTTTGACTTTATTTTGCGTTGTCCTGGTTCACTCGTGCAACTCAGCCACTGCTCCTTCTTCTGCAACACAACAAAGAAAACAAATTCTGTTAAAAAAAATAAGTATTTGCTTGAGCTGACGTTTCTCATTACATTGTTAAGTAATGCTTCAAGCTTACTGCTTGCTTTTAGTCAACACTGGAAAATATTTCCATCCTTCTTGACTGCTTCTCTGATTTTAATTGCCAGAGTATTCCAGAAACTGCTCTATCAAGATGAACCTTGGAGACTGCTTGGTGATTTGAGCATAACACTGACAAACCAGAAACAGATTCCAAAACCTACTGCAGAGTTGACCAAAGAAACTCCTTGTATCCACAGATAAAGTGAATAAACATTTTTTTAAAAGGATTTTATTGCTCAAAGATATCCTTGTGGTGTCTTAGATCTGTGAGTGTTCCTTGCTGGCCTCCAGCACCTAATTCAGAGAGGTGATGACCTGCTCTTGGTTTGGGATCATAGATGGTACCCCTGTCTTCACCCTAAGACACTTCAGTGGGAGCTGAATATTGGAAGGGTTGTTCTTTATGTCCTGCTCTGTGCTTTGGATTCAAAACTATAGAAATAGAAAAATTATATCCATACCTTACTGGGAATTGAAGCAAAAGAAGAGCAAGCAACCAGAAAAACAAACAGAAAAATCTAAGTAGAGTTATGAGAGTTATTGTCCTGAAAAAGAATGCTCTGATGCTACATTCTCTATTTAACCACATGAATTAGTAAACTTCCAGCAGAAGTAGCAAAAAAGAATTCCTCATTGCCTTACTAGGCTAAGTAGAGACCTGGAATAACTACTCAAACCTCCATGAAGAAGAACTGGATTGCTCCAGATAATGGAATAACCAAATAACTGGGGACAGAGTGGAAAATAAAGCACAGATCATCTCATTGCTCAAGGTCAGTGCAGTTCTCGTTCTACTGAAAATGGTAATTTGCAAGGAGAAAAAAAAAAAAAAAAAAAAAAAAAAAAAAAAAAAAAAAAAAAAAAAAAAAAAAAAAAAAAAAAAAAAAAAAAAAAAAAA